TAATGCCAGACCAGTGACTGACAACTCAGAATGCTGATTCAATATCCCGATTTTTTTGTTAGCTGCTTTACTGGTTCAGTTGACTGGGATTTTGTTTTTTCATCCATTAGGTTGGCATCAGGATCACATAGCCTAAGAGCCCAATAAAAAATCAAAATGCTTTTCTAGTTGAGCTCAATGGTGATTTCCACAAACAGAGCTGCTGAACACATAGTTAATTAACCAAAGCAGAAATAACGGCTAAGGGAAAGTAGAAAGTTTTCTCTGGAGTGAGATGTGAGTGGAGTATTATTTTTACCTCTATTTTTTATGTCGCTGAAACAGGAGATGTCAAACTCTCATGACCTGCTGAGCGCTTAACATGTTCAAGTGAAGAGGAAGACCCACCAGTACGTCTTCAGAAGAGAATTCTAATTCAGCAGATTAGAAAGAATTAGAAGCCCCACAGAAGGAGCTTATTAGAGCAATAACTGTATCAAAGGAAAACCCAGTAGGAAACTAACTGGGTCAGTTACAATTAGTTCTGATTGGATTTGATCCTTGTTAAAACTATTTTCTTTGGAATTCTTGATTTTGGAGAGGTTAGGTTTGGTATTAAAGTGGCAACTGTAAAATTTGTATTAGATTTGCAGAAGAATATCATTGCTTTGAAAGAAGTCACTTCTGGACTAGCAGTGAACCAGAGAGATTTCCTACAGCACTGTCAGGTCAATCATAGTGTAGAAGTTTACATGGGAAGTGCAGGAGTTTAGAGAAATGTTGTAAAATGTGGGTTGGAATAAGTTCTCAAGAAGATCCATCTCACTTTAGAAGTGATCTTTACTTGTTGTAGAGTGACTGCTTGAGGTTCAGATCAAATTATAACTAATTCTGAATATTGTTCAGCTCACTTAGGACTGAAATGAGTTTTGTTTGGTAACAAATTTTTTTTTTAATTTAAAATACTTCCTCTGGCTGACCTGCACTGCCATGGCTAGGGAAAGAATCGACACACTCTTCATTTTCTCATTTCTCAATTGCAAATAGCAGAACTTATTAAATTATTGTTAAATAGGGTATGTTAGTAAGCTGACAGCTAAGTTTTCCTTGTTATTGCACAATTCTTCCATTTGCTTTCATTTAGAAAGAGGTCCCCCCAGCGACATCGCTGAAGACTTTTGCAATATTCAATACACACACATATACGTGCAGATCTTTTATTTCTATTCATTTTCCTCCTTGAATTTTTCTCCCAGTTCCAATTCTGTCCAAATCACTTTTATTCCTAAGAGTTCTCTCTCTCTTTTCTTTCATGAAACTTTATCAAGACAAATGTCAGTTATCCCATAATGTCCCAGGTGAGATACTTGTCATATTATTCTAATATAATTTGCAAATATATACTAATATAGTGGGAGGAAATCATGATCAGTGTTTGGCAGTCATCTTTTGAAACATTAAATAAAGTGTATAATTTGGGCAATAGATTATCTCTGCAGAGAGAAAAAATTCAATTATAAACATCAAAAGCAAAACTACTTTCCCTGAATTAATAAGGGTTTGTGCCCTTATTCATGTTATTCCATCAGTCTAGATCACCACTGGCATCATCCCCTACCTAGTAACACCTTTTGGAGATTTTCTGACCCCTCAGAAAGAATCAACTGTATTTTCACAGTACACAGCATGCATCTCTATTTAACAAGAATGCAAGCCTTCCTTTCAAGTCTGTTAGCTGCTTACATATATGTCTATCACCACTCAGGAGCATGAATGGTGTTCGTAAGACAAACTGAGGCCTTCGGTGAGGATTAAGGATTTTGGTGGGAATCGGACAGAAGCAAAGAACTGCCAGGACTAGGGTACCAGGGAGTAATATAATGGAATCAGTTCAGGTCTTTGTTCAGTGGGGCAAGTCACACTTGTGTATATTGCATGCTTCATCATCTGAGATGGTGGACCACCTGTCTTTTGAGTAGATACTAGTGCCTTGTTTTCAGGTGTATTGTTTGAATTGAAATAGGACTCTCGGAGTAAGGGTGGAAAAATAGTGAATACAATCCTTTTAAAAAGCTATGTAGAGATTTAAGGATTCTTTCAAGTGAGCAGAGATGTTCAAAAAATGGTTCTAGCATCAGAATGAAAACTAAAGGGAATAGTAAGAAACCAAGAGGGAAAACACTGCAGAGGTTAAAAAATGGGATCTCTGTTGTCGACAGGCCAACTGGACAGAGCAACAAGATAACCCCAAACCCTAATTTCTCTTTGTAGGAGGCCAGTTCTGTGAAATAATTACATAGTTATTTGTCTGGAAAGATGGAAGGGTGGATGGATGGATGGTTAGATAGATAGATAAAGCTTAATACATACATACATACATAGCTAGAATAAATGCACCAAATTGTTAACAGCAGTTATCTGTGTTATGGGACTATGGAATAATTTTTTCACCATTATTTTTTCCATTTTCCCAAAATTTTTGATGGAAATATGTCCTATTTTTATAGTCAGAAAAGGGCGATTAAAATGTGTGTGTGTGTGTGTGTGTATAATATCTCTTTTTCTTTTGACTAAACCAATAATTCTCAGTTGGAGACAGTTTTGTCCCCAAAACAGCATTTGGCAGTGTTTGGAGACATATTTGATTGTCACAACTGAGGAATGTGCTACTGACATATAGTGGGTAGAGGCCAGGAATGCTTCTAAACATCTCACAACATACAGAACAGTTCCTAAAATTCATTTGTATTAGAAGCTATGATCTCAGGCTCAGAATTACCCAAGTAAAAATGACCTCTGGACTGACAGATATTGGAAAAGATTGTGTTTCTTGTTTATGTTTTATATATTGACTAGCACAGATCCTCATGGTAGCAAATTCTAATAAATATATATTGGGTTGAGTTGAATTAAAAGTGTATATCTCAGGCTTCCTTGGTGGCGCAGTGGTTGAGAGTCCGCCTGCCGATGCAGGGGACGCGGGTTCGTGCCCCGGTCCGGGAGGATCCCACATGCCGCGGAGCGGCTGGGCCCGTGAGCCATGGCCGCTGAGCCTGCGCGTCTGGAGCCTGTGCTCCACAACGGGAGAGACCACAACAGTGAGAGGACCGCATACCAAAAAAAAAAAAAAAAAAAAGTGTATATCTCTTCTGGGCACAATTAATATAGGTATAAAGATGCATAATAAACTTTTGAATTAGTAATTAAAAGGTACATTTTCTAGACCCAACTGGAATTGAGAGTTATAGTTGATTTAATTCATTGAGAGGTTAGTGGGCATCTATCACTTTGTCAGATGTTCTGCAGAGTATAAAAGTAACATAAAATTCATTCCTTGACCTTGAGGAATTTGCAGTCTAACCAAAGAGATAGACCATGTCCTGAGAAAACCATTTTGTTCCAGAGCAAAACAGCACATGTTAGTGTGCCAAAATGAGTAGCTAATTAGTGCAATAGGAATTTAAGGAACAGAAAACAATCAATATGTCTGGAATTGTCAGAAACGGCTTCAAGACAAAGAAGAGAGCTGAGCTAACAGACTGATGGGTCGAATTTCAATATAAGCAGCAACAAGAGGAAGGTATTGAAAGGCAGAGAAAATAGCATGAACAAAACTTGGAAAGTTAAGACTGATCATAGGCAGGCTGATGGGGAGTGAGAGGACTACTCTCGAGCAGGTAATAGATTTGAACTGCTGGGAGGTGACCAGATTATGGTGAAAATCGAATGAATGAGTATTATTAGGAACACCCTGTAAAGTATCTAAGCCTATGAATGGGATAAAACATGCCAGCCCCAAAGTTGTGTTTTCAGTCTTTACCATACTTAGAGTATTTGACCTCATATGATTTAGCTTCATCTTCCCACACGTAAGACCTTTGTACTATATAAAGTAACAACCTGGCCTACATAATGTACCTAATGCTCCAAAAAAGTGACCAAAAGCAGAGACAAGCCAAATTTAGCCATAGCCTCCGGTAACCTTTCTCCCCCCTTGTGACTACAAAGATACCAAGAGTCTTCATTTCAGAAGAGAAGTGCTCTCATTAAAGAATTATTTTAGGGCTTCCCTGGGGGCGCAGTGGTTGAGAGTCCGCCTGCCGATGCAGGGGACACGGGTTCGTGCCCCGGTCCGGGAAGATCCCACATGCCGCGGAGCGGCTGGGCCCATGAGCCATGGCCGCTGAGCCTGCGGGTCCGGAGCCTGTGCTCCGCAACGGGAGAGGCCACAACGGTGAGAGGCCCGCGTACCGCAAAAAAAAAAAAAAAGAAAAAGCACACTCCATCCACTTTAATGGAGCAGTCAAACATTTACTCATCACCCACTCTGTGTGAATAAAAGCTCTGTGAGGAAATGCCTGCTATAATCTTTCCCCCTGAAGGTCTTGCCCTGTGTTTTATGTGACCTGGCAGATTTTTTTGACTCATATCCAATGTTAATTAATCAAATCTATAGGAATTGGTTTCTAAGCTGTTTGGCTACCTAGCAGGTTATTAACATTGTAAAATCAATTTAACGCCATTTTTAAGTGTTTAAGATCATCATCTTATAATTTCCAAAATCAGCATGTAAGTCAGTTTGAAATGAAGGTTAGGGACCATCAGTCAATACATCAGTTGATAAAGCACCGAACTGGTATTGAGGGGCATTTGAAGTTGGGTGACTAACAGCCCCTGCCCTTGACAACTTAGTATCCATTTAGGGAGAGAATATGTGTGCAGGGGGAAAAAAAATCACAAAACAATGTCACATTACATTTACAATTTGTCAAATTAATGGAACAGACAATAAATGCTTCATTTTGCCCAGAATACCAATAAGTTTGGACTTTGCTGAAGTAGAAACATGAACCAAACATATCCTGCTATGTAACTGAAATTTGAGATCCTGATAGGAGTATCATAGTACTTTGAAGATTAGAGTATGCAGTACTGTTGAGCATAGATAACCTATAAGGAATTCACTTGAACTATAGGAGGAAATGAAAATAGTTCTTCTCTTCCTTCTTTTTTTAAATTAGGTCATGGAACGAAAGGAGTATTTGAGCTTCTGTCTGGATGGCGGAGAACCAAAGAGAATTTGCCCTTCAAAGACAGGGTAGCAGATGCCTATTCGGATGTGATGGTGACCTATACCATGACTAGCTCCCTGTACTTTATTACCTTTGGCATGGGTGCCAGCCCGTTCACCAACATAGAGGCTGTGAAGGTCTTCTGTCAGAACATGTGTGTCTCCATCCTGTTGAACTACTTCTACATTTTCTCCTTCTTTGGCTCCTGTCTGGTCTTCGCTGGCCAACTAGAGCAAAACCGCTACCACAGCATCTTTTGCTGTAAGATCCCTTCTGCAGAATACCTGGACCGCAAGCCTGTGTGGTTCCAGACAGTGATGAGTGATGGGCATCAACAGACATCCCATCATGAGACGAACCCCTACCAGCACCACTTTATTCAGCACTTCCTCCGTGAACATTACAATGAATGGATTACCAATATCTACGTGAAGCCATTTGTTGTCATCCTCTATCTCATCTATGCCTCCTTCTCCTTCATGGGGTGCTTGCAGATCAGTGACGGAGCCAACATCATCAATCTACTAGCCAGTGATTCCCCAAGCGTCTCTTATGCCATGGTTCAGCAGAAATATTTCAGCAACTACAGCCCCGTGATAGGATTCTATGTCTACGAGCCCCTCGAGTACTGGAACAGCAGTGTCCAGGAGGACCTCCGGAGACTCTGCAGTGGATTCACTGCAGTGTCCTGGGTGGAGCAGTATTACCAGTTCCTGAAAGTGAGCAACATCAGTGCCAATAACAAGAGTGACTTTATCAGTGTCCTACAAAGTTCATTTTTAAAAAAGCCAGAATTCCAGCATTTTCGAAACGATATCATCTTCTCCAAGGCAGGAGATGAAAACAACATCATTGCTTCTCGCTTGTATCTGGTGGCCAGGACTAGCAGAGACAAGCAGAAGGAAGTCGTAGAAGTGCTGGAAAAGTTGAGGCCCCTGTCCCTGTCAAAGAGCATCCGTTTTATCGTGTTCAACCCCTCCTTTGTGTTCATGGACCATTACAGCTTATCTGTCACAGTGCCTGTTCTGATTGCAGGCTTTGGTGTTCTCCTGGTGTTAATCCTGACTTTTTTCCTAGTGATCCACCCTCTGGGAAACTTCTGGCTAATTCTTAGCGTCACCTCAATTGAGCTGGGCGTTCTGGGCTTAATGACATTATGGAACATCGACATGGATTGCATTTCTATCTTGTGCCTTATCTACACTTTAAATTTCGCCATTGACCACTGTGCACCACTGCTTTACACGTTTGTATTAGCAACTGAGCACACCCGAACACAATGTATAAAAAGCTCCCTGCAAGAGCATGGGACAGCCATTTTGCAAAATGTTACTTCTTTTCTTATTGGGTTGGTCCCCCTCCTATTTGTGCCTTCGAACCTGACCTTCACACTGTTCAAATGCTTGCTGCTCACGGGGGGTTGCACACTTCTGCACTGTTTTGTTATCTTACCTGTGTTCCTAACCTTTTTCCCCCCTTCCAAAAAGCACCACAAGAAAAAGAAACGCGCCAAGCGGAAGGAGAGAGAGGAAATCGAATGCATAGAAATTCAAGAGAACCCTGATCACGTCACCACAGTCTGAAGGGTGTAGACTAATGGATTATTTTTCTTTTCCAGTATTGCACAACGATGCAGGGCAGGCAAAGCTCAGACCTCAGCTGCTTGGGCTGGCCAGGGGTAACCAGGCAAGTCAGATCAAGAGTGAATTATTCATGACACATCAAGGTGTCCACTTCTTGGGGGGAAGAAGGACTCAAAGAAGGGGAAAAAGTCCTTTGCAACCTTGTTCTCCACTAACGATAAGTTTCTGGATGTGACCTTGGAGCTCTTCCAAGGAATGGACGAATCAATGGAGTGTTAGAAGGCCAAAGGAGCCAACTGCTTTTAAAAATAAAATGCTTAGGAGAGATGGAGTGGAGAAGATGGGGGCCTCCAAATAGTGGAAAAGACATAGGAAATGTCAAAATTGCTATGACAGTTTTCATCTTTGTTTTTTGATCAGGTTGGTCAAAGGAAACCTATGCACTTGGGAAGTACATATTTAATCCCATCTAAGCCAAAGCACTTCCCAATTCATTTTAAGTGTGCGTATATATGTGTATGTGCCATATATACATATACTTAGATTTGTCTTTAGTGTACCTTGACATCTGTGTGGAGGGAGGTGCCCATCTGCAGACCGGCTGGCCTTTCTCTAGAAAGTCAAACCAGCCTTAGCCAAATATAGACCCATTAATGACCATTCAAAATCGATTCAAGTGTTGCAGCAAGAGTACTGTTCACCTGTGCAATAAGCAAAATAAACAGAGATGTGAGCCCATTAGATTCACATATCATGTTGTCAGTCTTTGAGATTCTTGCTTTGGATGACTTAGCAAAAAACGCAAAAGGCATTTGAATTAATTACCACGTGGGCAAGGTTTAAAATCTCATGTTAGTGCTAAATAGTTACTGTGGCTTTTCATTGGCTTTTAATGATTCTCTGTATTTGGGAGGACTGATTTAGCTGCTTTTAGGGAGCTCACCCACTGCAAATGAGCACTTTACATGCATTGTTCATACAAATGTGTGTAAAGTTGCACAAGAGTGTGTGTGTGTGTGTGTGTGTGAGAGAGAAAGAGAGAGTTGAGGTATTCCGTAGTTACAGTATTCTCATTTTAGATGTTGAAAATATACTGCCATGGAATATAGATAATTAACATAGGAGAAAGTGGGCATAACTAGGAAACTTGTTATAGAAGGAAATAGAGTAAACGGGGCATCACCACTCGTCATGTGTTATCAACTGGTTCTTAGTGTAAAGAAAATACTCTAAACCTATCAAGTCTAGTGTGTTCCTTGCATTAATATTTGGAACATTAACCCAGGCCACAATCACTATAGTGGTGGTCGCTATAACTCCTGCAATATTGTTTTGTAGCTTCTTGCAATATCATTGTTCTTGTTACCTGAAAAGTGCTTGTCAGTTGGCAGGCCTCCTAGGGTGATCGTCGCTCTCCACAGGTGACGGATTAACTGTAACTGCTGCTGAATTCTCTCTGAAAAACAGTACTAAGGGAAATGTTTTCCTTGTGTTAAAATTTACAACTGCTCCCCAGCAGATAGACTCAGTCTGTTGGGTGCGTCCTTGGATCAATGGTGTGCTTCCTGTCACAGAAAATTACTAGAAAATGCCTTTTCCCGTGCCAGGCAGTAAAATAACTTAATTTTCAGGTAGGACTGAACAAATGTCCAATGATTATGAAATCTGCTAGTCAGCTCTTTTACCTGGAGGAGAGCAACTGTCTCCCACCAACTTTGGTTGCATAGTTTAATTGAATTTAAAATATTAAAATCTCAGACAAACAAACAAAAAAAAGACTTTTTGGACTCACGTTCAGAAAAGAGATACAAGCCATTCCAGTCTCGTTGCAGTGTTTGGAAATGAAGTTGGTAGATTAATGAAGTAATGAAACAACAAAACGGGTATGCTTTTACAAATAAAGAGTTTACTGGAATATTAAGGGAAAGGAGAACTGTCTCTACAATGAAAAACCTTTAACCAAATTCTGTTTTATTAAATGGAGTTTGTTTTGTCCTACCTTGAGGTTATTGAGTTTCTATTAGAAATGATCCATGTCCTTTCAGTTGTGTTCATATGGGCAAAATATCAATAGATCGAGTATGGAAAATAATGGCCATAATATAGCATTATTGTTTGTACGTTATTTGTAAAGTCATGTCACAGATAACCCTAGCCTTTTGCCTCCTGAACTGCTCTGCTAGGATGAACTGGTATTTGGCACCAGCAGACCTGCAGACCATGACCTTATATCTGAAGTGGAAATTTCTGAGGCATTGGGTTTTTTGGTGGCATCGGGGGGACTCTTCTTTCACAGTTTACTCATCATTTGTGAAGATGTGTTTGCCGAGATATTCCGTTAACTATCAGTCCATCTCTTTCCGAAATGTGCCATACTCCATTAAGTTACCAACTTTTAAAAAGCTTGCCTACTTGGGTCATTTTTTTTTTCTTGATTACCTTAGACAATTCCAAAGAAGATTGCAAAGAAGATTGACAGGTTGGTTTATAAAGAAAGACTCAAGTGTTCCAGTTGCCAAATGCATATGGGGATAGTGGCATAACTACCCCAATCCTGAGGCAGTTCTAATATCATGTCTCCATCTAGGTGGTCTCTATTTGGATGGAGAAAACAGTTCTTTTTTAGCTTATATGTTCAAGGATCAAAGTGACTAAGAAAAATATGAATTTCTCATTGTTCAAGAGACTAGAGAGGTGGAATTTTGGAAGGGATATTTTCTTTTCCAGGACACCATGGTACTCCTTAGTGAACTGTAGCAATAATTTATTGAAATGGGATTTCTTGTCCTGGAAGAGTTAATATACCACACAAAATGCCCTAACTCAGTCCTTGAAAGTAATTTAAGCCTAGGAAGAATGTAACTGAGCATCCTCTGACCTCCCAAACTCACTGTGAAACAGGTATTTCCAAGAATCCCATTTGCCGAATGCCAAGATACATCCTAAAGTATAAGATCATGATTTGCATGTGACACCAAACCTCTGCTTCTTTCAGTAGCTCATGTGCAACTCTTCTAGTTTTTCAAGTTTACTCCTGTTGTTTACTCCTTTTGTGAAATATTGATGGCACTCAAATTAGGAACTTATCTAGTGCTAGAAGATGACCAGTCAACTCCAGGAAGAGAAGAAACCTATGGGAACTATCTCAGATATGTAGAATATTTTCTTTGGCTGAAACATGTTTTTCCCTTCAAGTGAGAGTTTAAAAGTTTGCGAAAACCACACCCTTTCTGAATTTAAACTGGGATGTGGATTTGTTTCCTCCCATTGGAATTTAAATTTGAATTAGTACCATAAGAGCTCCACTCTCCGTGACGGTTAATAAAGCTTCAAAGAGGTACTCACTAAATGATAGAAAGGAGATTTGGCTAACAGGTTCTTTCCCTCCTATAGTTAAAGGTGATCATATGCTGACTTAGACCATGCACAAGTGTTTTAAATGAAAGGTATACTTAAATGTCATCCCGTGAATTCTTTCAGGGACCAGTGAACCTCTTTGAAGGTTGTGCATGAATACTCTATGAAAGAATTATTCTCCACTGTGGCTGTATCATGTGAGTGTTCCTTTCCCATTTTATTCCTATTTATTTCCACAGAACTGTTGGTTTTACCTTGTGAGATTAGAAGAAGAATTATGACAAATGAAGCTCCTATGATGCCATAATAGCCATTCTTGAATGTTGAGTTCAAGAGGGTGAGAGCTTTTTCCATTTTGTAATTACCCACTGCATTTTCCCATAATAAGCTGATCCTCCTAGGCTTGTGGTTAGAGCTAGGGATTAACTATTGCCATTCAGAATTACATGTATTTTTTATAAGTTGACTGTAAATATTATAATTACAGTCACCTATTTTTCTGGCCAAATAGTTATGAATGCCTGGCACTATGCATGAATTGTTACTAATAGTACATAGATTTTTAAAGACACTATTTTCATGGTTATTGCAACTTTTATTAAAATTCTCACGTCACCTATTCATAAATGCCTTGTAGGTTTTAGTTCCAAGGGCCTAGAGTCCATAGAAATTTCCATACCAAGGGGAACAGTTTAAAAGTTGCCTTCCCTGGGTGTCGATGGCAGCAACCTCTTCTAGAATGTCCTCTGGAAAATCCTAGAGGGTAAATCTGGATTCCAAGTAAAGGACGTAGCAGATTCTATGTTAGTCAGTAATTAAGCATACTTTAGTGTCCCGTGTTTGCTAATCTCAAGTTGAAACAGAGAATACAATGCCTTGAGAATAGAATTTAGATGTTGTCTCCCGTGGATTGGAGAACTCAGTAATTTGCTCCATCTCTTTCTTCTAGAGGGATCTCTGTTCAATCTATTTTGTTGGTGTTTGCAAATGGTATTGATAATCCTTTCAAATGTGAACCTAAAAACTTTCATTTATACCAAAATAGATTTAGGAACACTTTTATTCTCTTTAAAAACAAAAAAGCAAAACAAAGCAAAAACACTTCTTACTCTTTCTGTATTACAAAAAAGAAATTGTGACAAATTTTATGACACTGACTCAAAATCGATCTATAGCGGAATTGGTATGCCCTTGAAATTTCCCCATCTTCAATCTAAATATAAAACTCAGCATCATCACTGTGGAGCAGGCATCTACACCAATCTTTCAAGCACACCATGTACAGTTTATAGTTTGAGACACCGTGCGCAGAGAATTGCACGGTGCCTCAAAACTATAGATTCTTAACTGCTAGCCAAATCGAACACATGCCAATACACTCCATTTGAAGATTGATTGCCTTCTCATTTGTCAGATTCATAACCTGACATTTGTGGGCAAAGTGCTCCTGAATTTCCAAGCATGAGTCAGGACCATAGATCATTTTGTGGATTAAAATGGGATACTAGGGAGTCTCCTTGAAAAGAAGCTTCAAGTAAGCACCCAGATAAGCATTATCCTGGATGGCTGTTGGCATTGCTCTGATTTCGTGCATCTTTGAGACATAATGAATATTTTGTTGATGTTTTCTCTGTACTTAATTAGGACCTCTCTGTTGCTGATAGAGAAGCTCCTTGCTTTTCTTATGATATGGAAAACAACTCACAGAGCGAAGTATATAGAGTTAAAAATCATACACTAGAATAGTACAGATGACTAGTCTACAAATAACATCATATTTCTTCTGCACCTCTAAAGGTGTTGTCAAAATTAAATGGGTTTATACATTAAAATGAGAAGCTTTATAAGGTAGATATTTTTTAATATAACAAAGTATTTATTAAAAATTATTGCTAATTTTGCACTTTTATAAATCATAGAAAGTCAGTCCCTACTATTTTTCCCAGTTGAAGTTTTCCCTAAGAAAATTCTCACAGGTCATGCTATTTATGAAGTCTTAAAAATGAGGAGGAAACTTTAGAAACAGAGGAATAAGAACATTTACTGGTTTTGTGTGATTCCTGTTCCATGTCACGTGTTTGTACTTATCTGAACTTGGGTCTTTAGAAGTCATTTAGTAACTGTGTTCCAGTTTCCAACATGGCTAATGGCATGGCTAGATAGAAGAACAGCATGTTTTCCCTACCCTCTATATCCATAGTTATTAGAGCAACTGCATTACACAAAAGGCTCTGTCAAACCAGGGGAGAAATAAGAACTTTAATGCTTTGGACAATTTCATTGAAGAATTTCCTAGGAGTAACTAGAGAGGCTGCCATGGGTAAGAGACAAGGGGAGTTTATTATAAATGTGTCATTTTCCAGTCCTGTATAAATTTATTAACTTGGATTTTGGTAGAGGCAACCTGCAGTATGTTGTGGGGAGCATTTAAGTTATTTAATGTAAGATGGTCAACAGAATTTCCCCCTGGAAACTGAAATACCTTCCATCATTCTATTTGGTTAATTCACTGGTTATTGGTAGACACAATAAGAGACCTGGAAGAAAACCAAACTGTCATATTCCTACATGCCCTGCTGTAGTATGCAGCACCTCTTTTGAGGTAGAATCAGGAAATTCTGATATCTTTTCTTCTCAAACATAAAAGTGCTAGGTACTGATAAATTAGACTTTAAACTCACCAATGCAAATATTCCAAAGTTCTAGCAGCGTTTAAGCAACAATTTTATTCTACTTTCCTGTTAATTATGCATATTTTTCAACAATAGATTTTCTTACTCTTAAATAGGAAATCTGTCACAGCATGAAAAGGGCAGAGATCTCTCCAAGCTACCTCAAAAGGGTATTTAAAGACAAAATGGCAGGCAACCTTTGATTAAATGGCAATATGTTGTAGCCACAAAGCAATATTATTTACTAGCTCTCCTTGATGCTCTTTTTAGACCAGGCTAAGTGTAAAAGGGATACCCCTATGTGCAGTTCCACTTGTGCATTCTGATTAATAGTATTCATATACTTGAAATATCTCAGGACAGTTGTTTGGTGTCTCTCTGCAGACATCCCAAAACTTGGTTCAGAAAGAGAATAACCTGACATTGCCTATGAGGCAGTGGTCCACCTAGTGAAGTGCACAGTCAAATAATCTGTGAATAACTTCAGTAAAAATTCCAAGTGCACTTCTTATCAATGGAGGGAAAACTCAGTTTGTTTGTTTGCTTGTTTAGCCTAAGCAAATAGAAGGAGACTAAGTTACCAGTATTTGGCATTTTACTTAGGTTTTCTTTTTCACTAGATGTCATTACTATTATTTTTAGTTAAACTGGGGTTCTGAAACACAGGTCACTTTTGGAAACATTAGGATCAGTGAAAAGAAAACTACTAGGAAGAGGTACTCTTCACCCGTGCATAGACAAATTGTAGGAATGAGAGTAACAGTTGAGCATTTTATTTCCTTTTCTTTCCTAAAACAAAACCGACTTGCTCTTAATCCTGGCTAAACAAATGTTAATTTCTATCGCAAAATAAAGGAGAATGATAAAAAGTGTAAAATTCTGAGACGCTAGTGTCTTATCAATACAAACCTAATGGCAAACCACCATTTTCAGATGTCTTTCCCTGTAAGAACATTCTTTTGTTTAATATTCTGTGCCCTATAGGTTCTTACCACATCTTGTTCATGAAAACAGTCTCACTTATCACTTCTAAAATAGTGCAAGTAAACTAAAAAGCCATATAATGCTCTCTGCTCTGTAATTCTGTATCTTGGACTCTGAAACTAAAGCTACTTATTGAGGAAAGCTTAAAAAAGAATTCTGAACAAAAAATCTCAATATCAAAAAAATATATATATGTATTTCCTAAGTTATATTTTCACCCCAACGAATCTTCAAAATAGGAAACTGCCCGAATGCACATTTTTTTAATCTCGCTTAAGAAGCAAGTATTTCCACGTGAGTCCTTCACAGTCTCCAAAATTCCCTGAATTTGGTCCACTATCAAAATTTATCTCCATTCTTTCTAAGTGAAAAAATAATTTATAAACCAGATTTTTTTCTAACTATAGTTAAAATAAAGTAACAAATTATTCCCCATAGATTTGCACATGTATACATACCTCTAATAATTAAGTTAATGTCCTAACTCAATCAAGGGAAATTATGTTGCAAATATTTCCTTATTTATTTTATTATTTTCATACTTTGCCCACACAGAGATATAATTTTAGTTAAATTCCTCAGTATTACTCTGTTTAGGAAATCTATGATTTAAGCCTAAAAGTAAAACTCTTAAGAAAAATAATCATAAAGTCTTAGCTACTTGCGAAAATGTCATCTCAGTTATATTTACTACAGTGCCACTAGGCAAAGTTATTTACATTACTTCTGGGTATGTTGACCTTTTATTTTAAAAACCACAAAAGTCTAGTTCCATTAGTCATAACAAGAAACAGTTAACATGTTAAAATACTGATAGATGATACAGGTGTTTACTCTTTTGTTACTAGTATCAGTTAACTTTACCAGGTCACAATCCTAAATGCTGCAAACTAGGCTGTTCATTGATTCACTGTCCTCTCTTTCATTTCTTATTGCTAATATTAAATGCCCCATGTAATATCATGACACATGACCTCTTCATCTCACTTCAGTGGGATCTTTGGGCTCCCTATCCTTTAGGGAAAGATTCTTCTAGGCTAGGAATTAAACTTCGTAAGCACAACATCCCATGACATCACAATGAAACATAATAATCTATACTTCTTCAGCCTTTTGTTGAATTACAGGTTCTAAAAATTATAAAATTTATCCTTTAAAAATACAAGAACACATGCATTAAAAATAATACCATGATTATGTATATCAATTATTTCTACTGTTTAAGGTAAGGTTCTGAAGCAAACACAGAATACCTTTGTATTCCTGAAACATATTTTTTACAAATCCCTAAGTTACAAATATCTTTATAACGTGTAAATCACTGAAGTGTTACTGAAATAGTTAGATGGCCTTTTAAGACCCCTAACACTTGTATTAACTTCAAATCTAAAGCAGTTTATAATCAGTTCAAAAAAATTCTGCCTAAAACACCTCACTTCTTTACATTGTATTACTGTATGAACATTAACTACAAACGCGCATGAACTAACAATTTTCTCACCATGTGAGAACTACAGAGATGGAGACAATAATAAATAGGCTGGTGGCTCCTGAGCAGTACCCAGGCTTACTGACAAAGCCCATCCCTCAGGCTGCACGCGATACAGTTCCAAGTCTGGACAAAATTATTCATGAGCTGTCAGCACTATTTCCAAGTCATTAAGCCAATAACTTTAAATCTTTGAATACCCGAGTCCACTGTATCTGGTGATTAATGTCATGGCATTACAGGGAATAATACATTGATATCCAACATTCACCATGTTTAACCTGATGCCAAAATTATACTGAATTAATAATCCGTAATCCACTTTAGAAGCTTTTGTTATTGCAGATTTCATTAGTGACATCATTTGCATGAATAACCAGAGAACTCTATTTAATAACATTCACTTTATATAGTTTTTCACATTTTTTAAACAAAGATGCCCAGAATTTTGTATGGGAATATTTGACTTGCTCAGTAGCCATTCTCCTGTCCAGATTTAATATTTTAATCATTAATTTATTTTGCTTTTTTCCTGTTCAATTTTTTTTATTTCTAAAATAATTTTTCTTAGAATAATTAAAGCATGTTTTTCCTTTGGTAAGAATGAGTATGTCTAGAAAAGAGTGAAATAAGAACATAGCAAAATTAAGCTGGACAGGTGAACATATTTGCAGGCACTAAAGTTTAGGAAAAGTATTAATTATTGTTATTTATATGTGCATCAAGCTGAAATTGCCTACTGCTTTTTTCCAGCTTTATTGAGATGTAATTGACATATAACATTATGTAAGTTTAAGGTGTACAATGTGTTGATTTGACACACTTACATGTTGCAAAATGATTACCACCCTAGCATCAGCTAACACCCCCATAACATCACATAATTACCATTTGGTTTTTTGTGCTAAAAATATTTAAGATCCCTTTT